TTTCCAAGACATGTTATTTGCTACCAAGATCATAACTAGTATTTAACAGAAATAAAATATTTCAGCCCTTTATAATTCACCTTGAATTTCATTTTGTTAAATATAAATGTTGTCAGTTATACATCCTTTCATTATCAATCCCTAGATATATTTTTCTAATCCACTATACTTGTTTTAAAATAAAAGGGAAAGGGAAGGTTGTAGTAAAACCCTCCCAAAACCCCTCCTTCATAAAAGCAATGAAGATACTGGAAAAAAAAAAGTTGTCAAAATTAACTTTTTCAGAACTCTGGAAACTAACTGAAGCCTTTCAACAATCGGAGGAGCTTTTATTTTAGAAAAATAATTGGTTCTTGGTAAAAACAATGAGCTTTGTGGTGCTTAAACTTACTCTATGCCCTTTGAAATTCAAGATACCCTTTAAGACCAACAGATTCACACCCACAGTAACTGAAAAACAACAGCGTAGCAGTTACTGGAGGGGAAGCAGGGTTTGGAAATCACCCAAATCCACATGTAACATGACTGTTACCATCTGACCTGTATGGAAGCTACCTGAAAAACTTCATTCTCTAGGTTAAGTATTATTATTATTATTATTATTATTATTATTATTATTATTTTGAGACGGTGTTTCACTTTTGTTACCCAGACTGGAGTGCAATGGCGCAATCTCAGCTCACCGCAACCTCCACCTCCCGGGTTCAGGCAATTCTCCTGCCTCAGCCTCCTGAGTAGCTGTGATTATAGGCATGTGCCACATACTTCAGTTAGTTATTTAGAGAAAGAGTCTCACTCCGTCACCCAGGCCAGAGTGCAGTGAAGGTTCACTGCAGCTTGACCTCCTAAGTTCAAATGATCCTCTCACCTCAGCCTTCCAAGTAGCTAGGACATGTGCTTGACAAACATCTGACTAATTTTTATTATTTTTTTTTTAGAGACAGAATTCTTGCTATGTTGCCCAGGCTTTTCTCAATCTCCTAGCATCAAGAAATCCTCCCACCTTGGCCTCTCGAGGTGCTGGAATTTTAGGTGTGGCAGATTTATCTTTATTTGGCCTGACTTAGAGCTTTTTCTTTTTTGCTGTGAGAACAGCCATATTCCCAGGTGTGTTTCTAATGCAATTATTGGCAATTGTTTAACAATACAACTTCTTTAAAAATCATAGTAAAATTGTCAAAAGCCAAAGACAGGGAGAATTGTGAAAATAACTCATCACATATAAGTGATCATCAATGAAATAACTTCCTATCTCTTAAGTGGAGATATCATTTAGGGCTAAGAAGTGACTAAGAAATTTAAAAGGAAAAACTAGGGAATGAAAGGACTTTAGAGGACATTTAAAAGCTCCACACATTCCTGGGAATCTAGAAGGCCACATGCATGTGCAGGACTGTGAACACGTACAGAAGACACTGGAGAAGGTCTTACTTGCTCACCTATAACTGACTTTTAGTTGCTTTAAAATCAGGAAGTAGAGGTTAAAAGCAGGTAAGTTGTTTGAAGTGTTGAAGATGTTCCTGAACATAAACACAGAATCTGCCAGCAAAGGCTGTGAGACTTACTGGTCCCAGGTATTTAAGGAGATCTCTGTCTATTTGCTAGCTAATGACTGAAGAATAAAACTTGACGGAATTAGTCCAGGAAAGTCACAAATAAATAAAAGGAAAATCATAAACAAAGAGAGACACAACAAATAGCAACAGCAGCAAGTTCTGGGAGTCTGATTTCCATCAATCAGATTTCCAGCGTTTCCACAGTATGTTTATTTTAAGTGCTTCACTTTTTAATAAAAAGTCTTGAGATACCCAAATAAATGACATAGAGGTATGCACCATATAGTACAGGTGACATGGCCAACCCCACAATTGTTCACCTATAATCTCAGGCAAACTATTTACCTTATCTGAGTCTCAGATATGGCCTCAGTAAAATAAGGGTGGTGATACATCATGTGCAGGGTTGTGGTACAGCTAGGAGGTTTACCCCACATATGGAGGTTTACCCCACATATGTGGGCAGAAAATATTAGAACCCAGGCTACCAAGGTCAGAAGGCCTAACTAAGAGCTTCTTACGGAAAAAAGCCTTTAGTCAATGACAAAGTGAGAGAAACATTTTTTTCAGGCAGTATATAGTCAATAATCTATTTCTTGAATGCTAGAATTGAAGGCTGTATAAAAATACTTATTACTATCAAATTTCAAAGAACAAGCAGAGCAAGTAAGTTGAGAGAAAGATAAATCTTTCTTGGAGGACATTTTTGGAAAAATATTATGAGCAAAGCAGTGTGAAAATAGAGAGAGAGAAGACTATGAAGATAAAACACCTACATCAAGAAGTTTATATTAAAATTGAGAATATAAAGTACGGGGTAAGGGTGGAGGAATAAATAGCCAACAGAGATTATCCCTGAGAAAGGCTACTGGACTATTAAAACCTTAGACTTGCTAGTTAAAGATTTTAAATCAGCTATTATAACTATCTTTGAGAACTAAAGAAAACCATGTTTAAAAAATTAAGTAAAAATATGACTATCTCAAATAGAAAATATCAATAAAGTTGTAGAAATAATTTTAAAATAAAGTAGAAATAAATCACTTAATAATTAAATGATATAAAAATTTTACTGGAAGGACTCATAAAAAGATTTGAAATGGCAGAAGATGGAATCAATTGAGCTGAAGATAGATCAACTGAGATTATCAATTCTAAGGAACACAAAGAACTATGAATGAAAAAACTTGAGCAGAGCCTCAAGGATATGTGGGACATCATCAGGCACACCAGAGTAGGCATGGTAAAGTCCCAGAATGATGGGAGTAAGAGAAAGAGACAGAAAGAATATCTGAAGAAATCATAGCATGAATTGTTTCATATTTGATAAAAAAAACACTAATTTGTACATTCATGAAGATTAAAGAACTCAAAATAGAATCAACTGAAAGGGATCCACACCTAGACAATTCATAGTAAAATTGTCAAAAGCCCCAAGGACAAAGAGAGAATTTTGAAAATAACTCATCATATATAAGTGATCACAATACAATAACTTCCTATCTGAAACCATAGTGGCCAGAAATAGAATGACATTTTCAAACTGTTATAAGAAAATGATTGTCAACAAAGAATTATATATCCAGAGAAATTTTTCTGTGAAAATAAAGGAAAAATTAATTCCCAGATAAAAATTCTGAAAAATTTGTCCCTAGCAGACCTGCCCTAAAAGAAATACTAAATGAGATTTTCTGTGTTGAAATGAAAGATGCCAAAGAGCAACTTGAATTCACATAAGAAACAAGGAATACTGTAAAAGTTAACTACAGAAATAAATATAAAAGCCATTATCAATATATTTTTATTAATAACTTCTCATCTATCTAATTTAAAAGGCAACTGTATAAAACAATACTTATAAAAAGTGTTGATGGGCTTATAATGAATATACCAAGAACTTAAACTGATTATACATTAAAAAATTATTAATTAATTCATTAGTAGATTAAGTGTTAATGTGAAAGTTAAAGTAGACATCCTCGTCTTTACATGGGATATTTGTAGAAAGAGACATATATATCCCAATTAATAATTAACTATCAAATGTTTCCCATTAACATTAAATGAGACAAGAATTGTGACTACCATAGTATGGTTATCATTCAGTATTGTTCTGGTTTTCTAGTGCAAAAGAAAAATAAAGAAAAATAAGAAAAAATATAAAAAGAAAAGAAAAATAAAAAGATATAATTATTACAAAGGAAGCCACAAAGTTGCAATTATTTTCAAATAATGATTTAAAAATTCATATTTATTAGAAAATAATTTTAATGAAGACACCAAAAAAGTTAGTAATAATAATTTAAGAAGGTTTATTGCCAACATATTAGCTAAATATACAAAACCCAATAGTTTTCATATACACAAGTCATTACCAACCAAATAATACTGAAAAACAAATATGTAACAATAAGAGCATAGAATAAAATATTTGCATCCTATACAGTAAATTAAGTATTAATAAACATCCAATAGAATCAGCATATCAGAAAAAATATTACTTGTAAGTCAATAAGATAAAAGACACATAATACAGTAGCAAAAAAGCAAAGATATACAGGCAAAATTTCTTAGATTAAATAATTGATAGTGAACAATAAACCATTTTAAAAGTTATAAAAGATGAACAAGCTTGCAAATAAACCAGAAAATACAAATTAAACTAGATCCCATTCTGGGTATAGTTATGCAGTTAAATATGATAAACACTAACCACGTGTGGCTTTTTAAATTTAAATTAAATAGAATTAAAAATGTAATTTCTTAATCATGCCACCTAAATTTCAAGTGCTCAATAGTCATATATAGTTAGTGGCTACTATACTAGACTTCATAGATACAGAACATTTACATCAATGCAGAAAATTATATTGGGCAGAACTAGTCTATGAGATTTAAATTGGGTATGTGGGAAATGGGTGCTTGTTCACTGTTGGTGGGAGTGTAAATGTGTCCAGCTTTTATGGACAGAAATATGGCAACATTTATAAAAGTTAAAAATGAATTAAGAACATTATTTTCTAGGCAGCTATAATCATATTTGTACATATGTACAAAGTGATAGTAAAAGGACACTCATAGCATTATTTTATAATACATAGCAAATAATTGGCCATACTCTAAATAACATTGATAAATATAGTTAGCTAATTTACATAATCTATTAAGTGGCAAAACAAGTAACAAAACAGTATAAATAGTATCATATGTGTGTGCATTTGTGATATTGTTAGACTTTGTGTACCCATCCACATCTCATCTGGAATTATAATCCCCATAATTCTCACAATCCTCTGTCAAGAGAGAGACCAGGTGGAGGCAACTGAATCAGGGGGGCGGTTTGCTTCATGCTGTTCTCATGACAGTGAGTGAGTTCTCATGAGATCTGATGGTTTTATAAGGGTCTCTTTCCCCTTTGCTCCTCACTTCTTATTTCTTCCACAGTGTGAAGAAGGTGCCTTGCTTTCTCTTCACCTTTCCCCATGAAGTTTCCCCATGAGGCCACCCTGCCATGCTGAACTGTGAGTCAACTAAACCTCTTTCCTTTATAAATTACCCTATTTTGGGCAGTTCTTTATAGAAGTATAAAAACGGATTAATACAATTTATAAAATCTGTGTGTATTTGTAACTGGAAGAAATAGGCTTTCAAGAATGCCCATAAATTTTTATAATAGTATTATATAATAGTCAACCTTAGAGAGTTGAAATTTAAGTGATATTATCATGTTTTGCTCTTTTGCAGTGTTAGAGTTTTATTTCTTTCATAATTAAAAAAAGTTCAAAGAAACCATAGTAAGGCTGAGCACGGTGGCTCACGCCTGTAATCCCCGCACTTTGGGAGGCCGAGGCTGGTGGATCACGAGGTCAGGAGTTCAAGACCAGCCTGGCCAAGATGATGAAACTCCATCTCTACTAAAAATACAAAAAATTAGCCAGGCATGGTGGCATGCGCCTGTAATCCCAGCTACTCAGGAGGCTAAGACAGAGAATTGTTTAAACCGGGGAGGTGAAGGTTGCAGTAAGCTGAGATCATGCCACTGCACTCCAGCCTGGGAGACAGAGCAAGACTCTGTCTAAAAAAAAAAAAAAAGAAAAAAAGAAAGAAAGAAGAAACCATAGTAGTAGAAGGAAAGCGCTAAGTATTTTCCCCACCATTTTAGAGATTTTATCCATATGAGAGAAGTGATGTTTCATTCATATTGTCACAAACACTAAGAAAATTATTAGTTTCATACATCCACTTTCCTCAAGTAATTGCTGCAATCCAGATATAGAATTCTGAATAATAAAAATTATACTTACTTCAGAAAAAAACATAGAAAATACTTTTATATTTTCTAATGTAGTACCAAGTTTAGTGAATTCAAATAGAATCCAAACTGTGGCTTGACTGTATCTATACTCAAACAACAGCAATTTTTCATCTTTAACTGTTGTGGGTGCTATTAGCTTTAAGCATCATTCACCTCTTGAGGGCTGCAGGTGACATACTCACTCATATAGAACTACCCTAGAATACAGCCAAGGCCATGGAAAACAAATCTAATTGTTTTTGTAAAAGTGAGAAGTATACATATATTATTTTAGGTGGGACTTTCAGTCAACTGGTAGAAAAATTGAAATTTCATTCTAATATCAGAACTTAAAGCATTAAAAATATATATCAGATTGTCCTTTATAATACACAAATAATTTCTTGTGGATATGAACATTTTACATCCTATATGTCCCTATCATTTTGCATGTCAATTTTAATAATTTTAGTATGTTTTTGATAAGAGTCACACCTAACATTTGTGAAGAACTTAATTTTACTATATAAATAACCACTTTTATATTTTCTCATTTAAATTTCATTAGTATACTTTCTAGGAAAATGCTATTTTTGTTCTGTTAATATCATTATCCTGATTGAGAAATACAAAGGATAAAACAGTAAAGTAGTAAGATGTATTTCTAAGATGTCTTCTCTTAATCCTTTTCAATATTTCTCTTCCTATTTTGACTTACTGTCTTCCTCCACCCATAACTCAAGTGTTCTGTGTTGTTTCCCACTGTAATGGCCCATGAAGACCAGTTCTTTCTCATCATGGCTTAATGTTTCCTTCTACAGAATTTAGTTATCCCATGCCCCATCACCTCAGAATGTTGGTTCCAGCTGGTATTCTGTCTGGAAGCAATATAAATGGTGGTAACAGAAAACCTTCTTCTGAGGTGTTTACATCTAAATGTGCTCCTGCAACCAAAAAGAATAAAAATAGAATGGCAAAGTTACAGAAAATGAAACCAATCAAAGAGGTAGAGCCTTTTGAGATGGGGATGTCTGGGATCCTTTAAGATATTACCCAAAAGCCTCATTAGCCCTGTATGATGTTTCATATTGGATATTCAAATTAGTATATCTGCAATATGTTTTATTTATAAATGTTGATTTTTTCCCATTATGTTCCAAAAAAAAGATGTGATGGATATGTTAGCTATAATATTATTCTTTCTTATAGATAGTAAGACCTGATTCGTACAACCTCTCAAAGGCATTTCTGTCAATGAGCAGCAAGAGGAAACTGACAGCAGAAATCCTAAATTCTAATTACTTATTCAAGCTTGTTCCCAGTTCCAAGGTTATTTATCAACAGATGCTTTCTTAAGGTAGAACATGAAAGGCTTTTGTGAAAATCTATGTTAATATAAAGAATTACAAACACTGTTTAGAAAAAAATAGTCATCTTTATAAGAGGCTATAGATACAAATAAAGCAACCACAGAGCTAAAAGAGAAAAGGCTACTTAGATGCCACGGGTTTCTCTTCAAAATTATATTTAAATTTGTGTTATAAAACCAACCTGAAACTGGGACATCGTATTACTTTTCTGCAGCTCTGTCAGTGACTATGTGTTGCTTAAATCACCTAATACCTTGGAGCTTCCTTATATCATTTGTGAAATGATGGAGCTTGAATAATAGAATTTCTGAAGTTTCCCTCAGCTGAGCCATTGTATGAGTGGAGGTTGCCTTCCCACTCAGTCTAGGTTTAAAAAATTAAACTGTTTGACATAATTGTAGATTCACATGTAAGACAGAGATACCCTATACCAGTTACCCAGTTTCCTCTAGTGGTAACACAAATATTGTATTACAACCAGGATACTAGCACTGATTCAGTTAAGATACAAAAACAGCTCACTATTTCATTTCTTAGTATTAATCAGGAAGAGATAGTACAAGTTTTGAGAGCTTACCGTATGATGTGTTTTACATGCTTTATTTCATTTAGCTCTAATTATAGGCCCCTTTAAAGGCCCCTTAGCTAAAGATAAGCCTTAGCTAAAAGCAGAAGAGTCAGGTTCAAGGTCTGCTTGACTTCACAGCCCTTATTCTTTCTATTTAGCATGCTGCCCCTGAAACAGATCTCAAAGACCTTTATCATTGCTTCACAAATTGTGCCACATATATCACTAGAAATATATGTGCCTTATGTGTCTCTGTTTTCGTGAGGAAAACTTTGTTTACAGTGTTTTACAGAGGCACAGGTCTGGGAAGAGTTAAAATATATCCAGGTCTAGGTCACCCTGCCCATTGGTCATTTGGCCAGGATTAAATTTGCAGTGTCTATCTTCCAGACTTCCTTCTTTTTTTTCTGCTTTTACACCACAGCCTCATTTTCTGAATGATAAATGATGACAGAACACAGCACAGAAAGAAGAAGGGACACTTTGAAAGGAGTCGTTTATATGTTTGAGGGAGGAAAAGTCATTTTACAATCAAATCTGCTCAGATGAGTTCCTTATTTCTATAAAATAAACAAAATCACACTTTTCTATGGAGATATAAATGCAAAATTAAAAACTGTGCTGATTAGACAGTCTTCTGCCATCTCCTACCAATTTACTAGAGTACAAATATCAAATCTTTCTGAGCCTCTAGGGACTCTTAAACTATTGTAGCTTGATTTCCTTAGAAGTGACACTGGAGTAACAATTAATTTACACAAAAAATATATATTGAGGGTCTACCAAATGTCAAAGTTAGAATACTGAGTAGATATGGTGAACCAGAAAGATAGAGCTCTTCCATGATATATATGGAATATAAGCATATATTTATTTCATAATGAATAACTTTATACAAATATAAATGGTTATACAAATTAGATTGGTATAATTATATAAGCAGACACATATTTGCATGCTATATGCATTATAGAGGGAATTCATGAGGCATTGTAATAACATTTAAAAGGGTAACAATAGAGTTTGAGGGTTCAGAGAAAGTTTCTTTGAGAATGGAACATGAAACTTGGAAACCGAAAAATGGGAATAGCTTCTGCACTCAGACAGATGCCTGTGGCCTGGGGATTGCTGTCTTTTGAGTGGCTAAATGCCTGCTCATTCACTTACCTGTAGATTATTCCTGACTGTACACTGTGTCCTTCTCTAAGCTGTCAGCTGGAACACTTGGCATGGCCTCTCCATGTGACTTGGGCTTCCTCACAACATGGTGGCTGAGTTTCAAAGGAGAGAGAATGTGAGCCAGGTGGAAGCAGTATCACCTATTATGCTGCAGTGTTCTCGACTAGAAAGTCACTGGCAAAGATCACTCATATTTCATTTTTTTAATGTAGTCACGAAGGCTAGCCCAATTTTACAGGAAGGGGAAATAGACTTTATATCTTGATGAGGAGCGACAATACTATGAAAGAGCATTAAAACAGCAAATACTGTGTTTTTAGAAATTTGGGGGAAATGAAATCTACCTCAAAGAACTATCATAGTTCAAACCTATAAAACAGAGTACAGTTTAGCTGCCACCTTTTAGCCAAGTGAGAAAAAGCTGCCAGTCCATTTTGTAGAGCCACAAATATAAAACCTAAATTTTAATTCTAGATTTTATATTCAATAAAAATGCTGTTTTATCTATACATATTTTATGTATTCATTTCCACTTGTTCAACTATGTGTCAAATATCAATTATATTTCCATTTCAATCTCTAGGAACTAAGTCAAAAAAAGGCAAATTTACAAATAGATTTTATCAAGCATTAACTGTTTTCTGCTTTCTGCCACTTTGACCAAAAAATAATTTGCCTTCTAAATGAATTTACTCCATTCACTTTAACCAATGGCCCCTTTCTTTTCTTTTGGTTATCTCTACCCACCACTTTACTTATTACTGTCTGAGAAAACATCCTATTATGACTGCAACAAATGAATATTCAGCTGTTCTAATGGAAAGATTCTCAAGGGAAGATGGATGGGAATAAGCAAAGTGAAAAGGAAAACACCAACGTGTTTAGTGGTTGAGGGCAGGGACTCTGATCTGATGTCAACCACCTGAGTTTGAAATCAAGCTCCAAAATTTACCATTCGCGAGACTTGATCTGCTTAACATTTTTAAAATCTTGATTTCCTTTCTGTGACAAAAAGGGTTATTTTAATAGGACCAAGCAAATTGAGTTATTGAAGTATAAAACTAAATAAAGCTTATAAACTGTGCCCAGTGTTACGCATATTTTAAGCCA